CGGATTTCCCGCACACACACACACACAATTGGGTGGTCGCTGGGCGGTTGAGTGGCCAATACACGTAGACAGGCTTACGCATGCCGCAATAATCCATGGCATAAACATTGGCAAATCCGTTTGCGTTTTGTACAAACATGGCTAAAACGTATTGGCAACAAAATTGGTCCAAAGCCGAGGCACAATGAGCCGAGTCAACAGAAAGAGTCGGGCGATTATTTTGGCACGTGGATGCGTTTGTTAGCATTAAGTCATAAAAACGTGCTACCCCAAAATGAGAGAAAAAGAGTCGGTACCAAAAAGGGGTTCACTGGGTTACTAGATTTGGCATGGAGGGAATGGGATCTAGGGGGTTCCAGATTTGGGGCCTGGGAATAAGCGACGACGATTTTTCGGTATGGAGCATCGAGTATTTTGTATTAAATTCCGTAAGCTGAAGGAGCTTCTCCAACTGCTATTGTCAGTCTGTTTATCGTTTTGAGCTGAGAAGTCTCTAGCTCTCGCTTTCTGTATCTATGCACTGAAACAAAAGTATAAATGACTACATGTATCTGGAATGACACTACCAATATTGCAAAAAACACAAGTAACAATAGTATATATATAAATATATATGTACATATATATATAGTGATATATATGTGAAACATGAATGGCATATCGTATTATTTAACTATTTTCATTTTAATGAATATCATATATCGGACACATTAGGCAAATTGAGTTGAAATTGCCATATACCAATTGCTTGTAATGAAAATATAAATATGTTACGTACTGATAGTTAACAATTCCTTGAGGGTTAATATGTAATATGTAACAAAATATGTAATATTTACTCGACGTGTAGAAAGATGTGAGAGGGGGAGGTGGGGGAATGTTGGGGCTCTTGGGGGTAACATGAGCAGTCCAAAGCACAGAAAGGAAGAGCCAAGGGAAGAGGGTGGTGAGCTACTGCGGAACACAATAGAACGCTTTGGGCCAATTGTTGGGACAAACAGACATTGCTGGCCATTCCACCTGCATTCCCTCAAACCCACATCCCCCACTACCCACCGGAACGACCGCCCCCTCTCCACAAGTGGCTGCTTTGCTATGCTGGTCGAAAGCCCCCATCCCCCCGCCCCATTTTGTGCAGCGACTGGTGCCTTTGTTTTGCTTTGAAAGTCTCAGCAATTTTGTGGTTCCTTTGTCTTGACTTCGGTCCATTCATTGACAGTTCCTAATGCAATCTCACCTTGTGCTTCAGCACTTTATAAAGTTATCCTTGGATCTTAATAGCGCGGAGGGGGGATGGTGGATCCACGGGATGGATAATACCTGCTTGTGGGCCAATTATTGGCTAAATATAATGGAGACATCCGATAAACCGATTGCCCCAAAGCGCCAGTCGAAACATTTTCCACTCGATTGATCTGCTGTCAGAAGCAATATGGAAAGCCAACGGAATTAAGCCGATATCGTTCCCGTTAACAGCCGCCACACCCACACACACACGCACACATACTCGTGCCCCCTTCGAGCTAAACAAATATTTGATTGGGCCCAAAAGATGGGGGCCTGTGCTCCACCATCTTTTGTTTACCTGGGCACATCGATAAATGTATCTATGCAAATGCGGATTTGGATCATAAATCATCCAAGTCTTAGGCGGCATCGAAGGGAATCGAAGGGGTATGAGGATAAGGGGGCGAAGTGGGCAAGTGGGCAGAAATTGAGATATTATCCCCGAAAGTTTTGTGCTTAATTCATTTGTAATTTCTGTGGGGAAGGGATTGGGATTATCTGATTGTGCTTGATTCGCTTAATCCGTTGCTAACTGCTGTGGCAACTTTCGGAACTTTCGGGTGCATCCTGTGCGTACTTTCCATGCAATTGGCTGCAGCAATTTCACTTGGCTTTTACTCCCCCGCCCCTCTTTTAAGGGCCCCCATCGCCACCCCCGTTATCCCCTTAAACCCCATTTCCGACACTTCGCTCTCCATTTTCCCGCGCCGTCCCGTTCGCACGCACACGCACACACACAAACACAAACACCCACACATCCGATTAGCAATTTCCATGCACTTGAGAGATTTCATTAGCCACTGTCGTTGTTGTTTGTGCTGTTGTTGCTGTCGCTTTCCATTTGCCATGACGTGCCTGGCTGGTTTTCCTTCTTTGATTTTCCCAACTTACACACAGCACAGGGAAAAATCAAATTTTTCAACGATTTAATTCCATCATTTTTCACCGCTGTCCCGGCGCTTTTGTTTGCCAAATTATAGTTCAGGGGTGAAAGGTGGATTAGAAGAGTTATGGTAGGCCAACAAGTTTATAGTTAAACAAATACATGCACATTTCTAGTACCAACTACAGAAAGTTATCAATAACATCTGCATATGAACGCATATACTTGAACATAATCCCATTTGGGCTTTAATCGTTTGATAAAATATAGATAATATGAAATGTATTTACTAGATACTTTTGACAAGGGTCTGTCAGCTAAAATCGCTCTGTTTTTTTCTGTGTTCCAGTGGTTTTTCTCTACGCACTCTGGCTTCCTATCGCACTTGAGCACTTTCCATGCATTTAAACAATTTTCCTGGTATATTTCAATTTCCATTTTACAAATGTTTTTTCTTCGCCCACCACCCACCGCCCAACGCCCGCTGCGTCTTCAATGCGTTTGTTGTTGTCAAAAATGTTGATGAAAATTTCATAAATTTATTTGCTGCTTTTCTCCAACTTCCTCTTGCTGCTGCCATTACTTGGCCCAGTTGTTGTTGCCCTGCATTCGTTCGTGCGCTTCTGAGCCATTAACTACACCACTCGTTCGCTTTTGAGCCAAAAGCACCCGGATCGGGGTACAAAGGGGGCTGCAAAGTGAATGTGGAGGCGTATGCGGATGCGGAGGCGGATGCTTAGGGGAGCTAGTCGAGGGGGCTAGTCAAGTTGCACATATCGTAAAATATTTAACGCTTTTAAGAGTCCTTCGGAACTGGCCAGGTAAGTTGTTACGCTCTCGGTGCGTAAGTCATTTTCATCCGCTTACCAGACGGTTGGCCATTTGTCTACGTCTTTCCACTTGGTGCCTGCATTTCGTATTGAATTTTTCACTGAACACACTCTTGCACTTGGACAAAAATGGTTGGCTAACATGGCTTTTCCTTCCGATTGCAGGGATGTCAAGGCTTCATTTGATTGCTTATATTTTTTAACTATAGGTTATAACTAAAGTAGAGCAGTGCCAAGGAATAGGACTTACATATGGTCGATTGGTCTATTGGGAATGAGAAAAAATTACACATTTCTAATAAATAAAAATTTTAAATTAAACAAATTATATACATATGGGTATTTTAGTTATTACCGGTATTTGCAGGACCAGAATATGTGATATACCAAATACATCAATCAGTCAATCAATCTGAGTTTACAGCACCTTTTCTCTCCGTGCAGCCCCTCACGCACACTTTAACATCAGGTGGGGTATCTAAAAAAATATCGATGTATGAATTTGCCGACCTTTCCCCAATAAATTCTCGTGGCAACGCAACGCATCGAATCGGACGTGATTTTAGCTTCACGCACGCACGCCGCACCTAAACAGGGGAGTTAGTTTCATTTAGAGGGGTGGATCAAAAGGGGGCGTGGCCGAGGGATTGGTTACGATGTCCCAAGGACCCTCACTACCCCGTACCCTCATGTATGGGCCCCTTTGGCAGTGCTGTTTTCTATGTCATGGCACGTATTTTGGATTTCTGCTACATTTGAACTTAATATTTTCCCCGTCTCCCCTCTGCAAGTGTGTGTGAGTGTGTGTTTGGGTATGTGTGTGTTTGCTGGAAATTTGCTCGCTTTTTTGGCAACATCTCTGTTCTAGCCTGGGGAATTTCTTTGGCGTGTTAATGCCTTTTGGCTATCAATTGGCCATTATGTGCCGGGGGTTTGGGGGCCAAAAGTCCCGGCTTCCGAGACCCTCTTCTTCTTCATCTTCCTCCGCCACATAACCATTACCAGTTTGTAATTCCGTTGTGATTTGGGATTAGGTCTGCTCCTCCTGGATGGCTGACTGCCTGGCTGACTGGCCATGGCCAATATCAGTGAGCGTCTGAGCGGGTGTCCAGGCACATGAACACGCCATAAAAATATCTTGGCAAAAGGCAATTGAATAAATTGTGACCTTTACATTGATTCCACTGGCGCATCATCAACCTCATCCTTGGCTGCATTCCGTTCCCCAAATTTTTGTTCTATCCCCCATTTCGGGACTGCGTCTCTCAAGTAAATAAAAGCTGAAAAACCATTTATTTTCCTTTGACTTTTGCACCCTTTTTCACCCTCCAAACCCCAAATCCCTGTCACGTAAGCTTCTGTACAGTGTTATAAGTCCATTTCGGATGTATCTGCAGTGGCCATAGTTTGTAAATGTGTGCGTGTAGCTGGTGTCCTTGTTTGTGTAGGGTGCTTTTTTGCTATTTTTAAATCGAAATATAAATACTTGTTGGTTTAGCCAGTTGCTAGTTGGGTTTTCAGTGCCACCTCGCTTTTTGTCGGACCAAACGTGCACACACACCCATAACACCCATAACACACACTACACATGCTGAGCTGACCACAAGTCGGTCTATTAATACGCGCAAATAAGCCGCTTAATTAGTCTTTCATTTTCGGGGGCACATTGGCACTGCGGCAGTGGCCATGGATTGTGGCTGCCACCGAATGTGGCCAGTAGCTGTCGGATTTGCGGGCCAACGTGGCGTATGCATAATGAAGATGATCGAACCGATTCTGGCTAGGCATACGGGCCACCAAATCGGACGTTAATTAAATGCTGCCATAATAGGATAAAAACTTGTGCCACCCCCAATTTCCGCTTCCCCTTTCCATTATGCGGCTCGTTAAGCTGCCACATGACCCCATCTTAATGAAATGAGAAAGGCTCGGTGCGCACACGCCTCGATTTTTTTTAACCATATCCATATTTTCATTTATTATGGAGAAACATTGTTCGTTTATTTTTGCATTGTTTAAACAGAAAAACATACTTGACTCCGCTTAGGTTAGCTTCATTTACCTTTTTTTTTTTCGTTAGTTTTAATAATTTGTGTAAGTTTTTCTTTTCGCTATTTGGTTTGCGTTCAACCGCGATCGAATCGATCCGTTCGCTCTTACTGCTTAAAAGTCTTATCAAGACCGCTTAAAACCGACCTCTAAATGTACAATTATCAAGTATGAATATTTTACACAGTAACTAGATGATGGACTACGTAGAACAATTTTGCGGCTGACAACCAGATAAAAACTTATCCATATACACTGAATAACCATCTATATATATATATTTATATAAATATAGCCGGGGCTACATTCCCCATCTATTCACTTCACTTCCCAACGTGCAGGGTGTTTGATTTCGGTATGAATAAATAAACAATCGAGGGCCTAAATTATTTATGTTTGTGTATTGTATATATACAATCGGACATTTCAGCTTCAATAAACCCAAATGATAATGTAAACCGAAAGGTTCTCTATAATTGCTGACTTTTGGCCGGTTTTGCGGTGATTATAACCCTGTGTAAAACGAATTCCAAATGAATTTCAAATGTTATACAATGAAAACACTGCTTTTTGGGTGAACAGCTGCTGGGATTTCGATACGATATACTTTCTCATTAATTTTCCTGCGTATGAATAGTGCATGTGGCCTGGACTCTTCCTGTTGACTGTGGTTGATTAAAACTTCTTTCGTAATACTGCCTGCCTGCTCGGGGATGTCTTAAAGATAATACTCGTTGAAGGACACACTGTATATGTACACACTAGTTCGTAAGACGCTCCTCCGCCGCTCTCATTAAATGCACCTGGGGAGGAGTGATTCAGTCCCAACTTGGCCGGGACTGTTGCTCAGCTTTTTGCGGCCTAGACTACCAATGGCGGCATCTGCGCGATACTGCCTTCCGGATCAGCTCCAGCTCCAGAGACCCACTAGGCCGGCGGCCAGGTTGCTCCAATTCCAGTTTCGGTTCCAGTGCCAGCGCCAGTCGGGACTCCAGTTCCAGTTGCCGTTGAAGTTACAGTTCCAGGCGACACCCGCCACCGTCATCGACATCCAGGTGGCAAGGACGAAAGGCACGGACGTGGCTGAAAGGGGACGCAGGCAGCTGGCGCTGCTGTTGCCGTGCTGCATGGCAGCCGGATGTTCCCCGTTGATGACGTGCACCACCACGGAGGCGGAATCTGCAACGAGTGGGAGTGGCGGGAAATGAATGTGGCGCTGAAAATGCCGCAGATCACAAAGTCTCATTAATTGCCCTGGGCACACTCGCCAAATTCAGTGCTCTATTCCTTTCAAAGGTATGGAATTTATGTACCTCAAAGTCCACAGAAAACGTATAAAATTACTTCATTGATGTTTCGGTTACTAAGGTAGTTATGTTGAATCGAGTTGTGAAGAAGAACAGAACATACAGAATAATTTATAAAATAAACTTCATTATAAATTGTTACTCGATACGTTAAGTAATTTCCAAGTAAAGTAATTTAAGCAATTTCCACTTGTAATTATAAGAGTTTCGAACATAGAATGCAAACTTTACACACAATTAGATAGCCTAAAGGTTAATAGGTATGCATGACAATAAACTCCACCCATTAGAATATCCAACACAGACAGCGAGCTATTTATAAAAGGTATCAATAACTTTATACGCCCATCCGGAAAAACTCAGCCTAATGAACAATCACTCATGTTTTCCATTTCACTTCCGAGAGGCTCAAAAAGTTCTGAAGACTTGTTCGGAGATTGTTGCTATTTTTGGCGCAATGGCTTGTCTTTAAATTAAGAATTAAACGAGTTGCTAAGACTTTTACAACTTTGCTTAAATTAATGATTAATCTCCACTGAAACTACTGCCAGCTGCTGAGCAGCTTTCAGTTACCTGTCTCTTTGCCCATTTTTTGGCAATCAAATTTAGCGAGTGTGGGTGGGAAAGTCTGGTTGGGACGAGCACATGGACATGGAATTGGAACTGGAACTGGAACTGGGACTCACCTGAGCTGCTCGGGGAGCACGTGTAGTTGCCCGAGTCCGCCGGCGTGGCCTTGGCTATGAGCAGCTTGCTGGTCCGTGTGGAACGCTCCGTGATGACGTTGATGCCACCGCGCTGCGAGTAATTCATGACCCGCTTGCCCTTGTACCAGTAGATGAACGATGGCGGCACCGGCGACTGCATCGCCAGGCAGGTGAGATTGATGTCGCTGCCGCTCTTGATGAAGAGCTCCGCGTTGCCCAGGATCTTGGCCCGCGACACTGCCGTTGAGAGGTAATAAAAAGCCACACGGGGCAGGCCATTAATTAGCACTCCGCCCACTTAATGGCCAGCTAACATCTCATCGCCCAACTCCCGGTTTCAATACTCACCCACAACGTTGAGGCGGAATCCTTGGCTGATCTTCGGCTCCGTGGACACCTGGCACTCGTAGGTGCCCGAGTCTCGCGGCTGTGGCGACGAGATGCGCAGCGTCCACTCGTCGGATCCCTCGGAGTGCAGCGACTGGAAGCGCTGGTCGTTTGTGTAGGTTAGTATTCCCACTGTCAGGATGTGCAGGTCGCGCTTCCTTATCCAGGACACCTGGCGGAGAAGGAAGTGGCCATTAAGTCCATAATCCTTTGAGCCCCATAACCATTAGATATTGAATGCTTTAGAGTATATCCCATTTTATTAAAAACCCCTGTACTTTTATCTTAAAGAAATATTTCAATATTTCTATTTCAAGAATCTCTGTAGGTATTAAAATCCGCTAAAAAATCAGAAATAGCCATCTCGTTATTTATATACTCGTACAGCGCTGCCTCAGTATTTTTCAATTGTATATATTGTTGGTTTTCATAAACAAAAAATTAATTCAATCTAACTTTTGTTGCCACTTGGCACCAGCAAAAAAGTTGACCTACATATACTTGAAAACGTGTATATAAATTTAATAAAAGCCTTTTTCGGCTGCCTTTCTTGCACGAAAAAATGCATGCAGCTGTCAAAGTTGCAAATGAAAAATTATTCCGTGCTCAAATGGGGAGTTGCTCGTTTTCGTAAACATTATAATATGTTTATATATTCGTGCAGTGATGTTTTATACGATACGCAAAACAATTATATATTGCAGATACCACTTAAATATTGACACAAACAAGATTATCTACTCCAAACTAGCCTAAGTTGTGTTGAAACGAAAAGTGAAACAAAATCGACTTGCCATCTATATTTGCATCAAAATGTTTTCAAGCCATTTTTTTTCCAAGCGAAAATTGCTCTATTTGCCTAATAGACTAAGCTTTATGACATCTCTCCGGCGATAGAGAAATATGCCAAAAGTTTTTGTGACGAAATAAAAAGTTTTTACTTAATATTCAGTGGGGCCAGCTCCAAATCGTTTCACATGGCTAATCCCCAAAATAATAACAGAATTGTTCTTTTATGTGTTCGGATAATTAGCAGGATTTTTCTCGGGTAGCAAAAGTGTGTTGTACGGCTTAAAAGGATTCCTGCCACTCGTTCTTTGTGCTCCTTGCCAGAAATTGTGGCACCTGAAGGATGCTTTAGCTCCGAAGCAAATTGAACAACTTTAAATGGTTGCCCAAAGTTTTCCCATTTGTGGGCGGGAAAAACTAGAAATTCATTAATTGCCTGTTACGGCTTTGTCTGGACTCTAATTTATGGCTGCAATTGGGTTACTTAGTGTGGCTCAGCCCCAGAATAGTTTTATATATCCATTCCGGATTTCGTTTATAGGGTTTCCACTTTGCCAAGGGAGAAAATGAAGCACACGGCTTTGTGCAATGCTTAATTTTCTCGTTTGTTTGGGTTCAATTAATTATGGATTAGTGCTTGGCAAGCCGTGCTCATAAAGAAGCCGCTTGATTTATATTTAAATTAAAATACATACATTCACCGGTCGTTTGCTAATGCAAAATATTCAATTAAAATTAATTGCATTTCCCCAGTGCGAATGGTTTCAAGGCGAAACTTTGGTCAACACCGTGATTATTCGCACAAAAAAGCCACAAAAAAAGGGAAACCAAACAATTAACACATTCGTAATGCAATTTTCTCTTTAAAATAGCGCGTTTTTATACGCAAGATATGATTGATTAATACAAAAAATGAAGTAAATGATTTAAATGTTCGTTTTAAGCATATTAACTAAAGGGATACAATTTGTTTTTACAATTGAGTTGCCAACGGGGAATTCCATGTGTTAATTAAAGTGCGCAACATACACGTATTTGGAAACAATATGGAGTAGAATCTTTGTTCATAAATCAATTGCACAATGGCAAGTGAACTAGTTCACTTCACTTGAACTACATTTTCGAAAAGCGATTAAGCCTCGTTTAGTGCTCCTTCGGCTTTTCCTTTTCCTTTTGAGTCTGCCCCCCGAAGTATGCAACGAAATGCGAAAAATTCCATTAAGAGGCAAATTTTCATGTCGTGCATATATTGCGACAATCAATTAGCACGAAACTTGGGCGAGGAGGACGTTGAGTGACTGGAGAATGAATCCCTACGAGTCGGGATTGGTGCAGCATGCAGCACAGAACACCGAGCAACGAGCACCCAGAACGGAGAATGTTGAATGCAACGTGCTGGAGACACCGCCAATTAGCCGCATATAAGGGGAGACAATGCCTCGGCTGGAGGATTAGGGACACCGAGGCAGAGTTCAGAGTTGGGCTCCGCATGTTGGATCCTCCCCTGCTCCAAGCCCCGGCGTTAATTACTCAATTCAACTGACTTGCTGAAAGTTGGGCGGGCGAACGAGCGTTGCTGACATCGTTGTCGCTTCCTGGCGGCGAATCGGGGTCTACGGGGTCCTCGGGATCTCCGGGGGAGGGCAAGACACGGACAACGTAAAATTTATTACACCGCATAATTGCACAGCCACAGAGCGCTTGCTTCGGACAAAAGGTTGAGCAGGCAGTTAGGGGGGCGGGGCATGGCGTGGCGCGGGGTTAGCTTACGGGTCAGGGGTCAAAGGGCAGAGGCAGAGTCAGAGGCGGAGGGCGGAGGGCGGAGGGCTGTTCGCTGCCCTGTGTTGTTGCATTGCTAACAAATCGCTCGGAGCGGAAGCGAAGCCGTGTTACAAATGTGCAAACCAGAGCGAGCCAAACACAAAGTGCTATTGGGCGTTGGAATGGGGCGCGTGGAGCCCATGGAGCGCATGGAGCGCATTCAACCCACAGACATTCGGAGATGGGTGACCAACCACCATAATGGTGGCTCTGGGGTCCAACCACCAACTTTATGGCGTAATCTTTTAAAAGTAATCTACAAATCTGCCACACGACCGCCGCAGGTCGTTTGTTTTGCCTTATGCCTTATGCCTTATGCGAATATAATGCTGAGAAACCTTCGGGGCGCATGGCGCATTAATTGCTGGGTGCTCCTCGCCGTCCTGACCCCCAACACTTACCGCTCGATCGCCCAGATTCCGGACGCGGCAGTGCAGCAGGGCCGCCTGGCCCACGGTTGCGGTGACCTCACGCCTCGAGGAGTTGTCGAAGTACGGCTGCGAGTACGGGGTTTCCCAGTAATGCGGCGGCACCTCGCCACCGACCATGCCGCAATCTGCGAATAAACAAGCAGTGGATGCAGACCCATTAATACCTATGTGTATGCATGAGGAGGGTACAAATATCACTTAAATTGGCCATCAATTATGTACGTTTGCAGGCGAAAGAAGGTCGCTTTTCATTTTCAAAATAAATAAAAGCTTTCCACCGAAACGAATTATACGAGTACTTGGCCTTAAATCACCTATGGGATATTTATGTGAGATGCGATTAAGATTCTGCTGAAAGCGCCTTTTGGCTTTAGTTAAGCTTATCGTATCTGTTCTCGTCATCAGTGTCAATGGGTTTAATTAAAAAGCCGTGCGATTGTCAATGACACATTGACAAATTTGAATGCTCTTTAATGCAGTCTCTGCACAAAACGACAATCGTTTTTAATCATATTAAATTCCCCATTCAACTTGTATTTTCAACTTGACAGTTTTACTTAAAATTAAATATGAGAGTGAAGAGCACTTAAAACCCTTTCATTTTGAAACTAGGTACTCTCACTTTCAGCGATTTATAAGCCCATAAACCGTCTGCGGTTTTTATCCTTTTCCCTTCTTCACTGCTTCTTACCGAAAGGATTACACCTACATTCTTTCGCCGTGCAATTTCGTGGAAGAATACCCACCAAGGAACAGGAGCAGCCACAGCGGCACCAGGCAAATCGCTTTCAACGCTCCCGGGCAGTCCGTTGTCCACATGTTTTATGCTCTCCACTCGGACTGCTACTACGGCTGCTACTTTGATGAGGGCTAAGGAGTCCTCCTGCTCCTGCTCCGGCTCCGGCTCGGGCTCCGGCTCCTGCCGGCTGTTGTATTTGCTCCGTTTACGGTTTAAGGTTTAATAATCTGCAAAGAAGGAAATATTATTACCAGGGCTTTTTTTATGGCACCAGAGGCGAAGGACGCGCCTGGAAAATAACTGGGGGAATGGGAATGTAATTTTCTGGGCAAATGATGAAAGCCAGATATATATCCGGAATATGGGCAGGGTCCTTGGGGGAGTGAGTAGAGCCAATATAGCTTTCCCCTCAGCCGGGAAATTGCCTACCCATCTCGACAAGTGTTTAGTACAGTGCGTTTCATTACTCCTAGATGGCCAAACGATTGAATAATAACAATAAACTTTATATATGACACAATTAAGCGATAATATAGCCTTAAATATTGAGGGAACAATGAATAATTTGGTAAAAACAAACAAATCATATAATTATTTCATAAAAATCCAACAAAATTAATGACTTCTGTTGCAGACAAACATTTTCCTGCTAGTTTTCAAACACAATATTGAGAATCTTTTTTCCCACCACTACGCACTGCAATTATTCAGCAAAATATTCAATTATTGCTGAAACAAAATTGGCTTGTTTATTGAAAATTAAAAAAAAAAATTCATTCTATGGCTCTCTAACTTAATTATTATTGAAACGAATTGCTGAGCTATCGGATATAATTAGCTTTATAACTGGGTCAGCAAATTACTGGTTATCTGTCAAATTGCAGCTGCGTTTTCCTACTGCCAAGAATATATGATATACTATTATATATTATGGACAAAATATCCCAACAAATTCAGTTGCACGAGTTGCGCACATTATTATAATGTGAATCTCTTCCAGAATCCAGCAATTAAGCATAAATTATTGATTCAAGGCGACTTATGTGCGCATATTTATGGACCTCAGTGCACCACAATTCCAATTAACAGAACAAGAGCCATCGCAGGCCAGGGAAATGGTTCTGCTGAATGTCGGGTTAATGAGGTTAATGCCGGATGTAGCCTCAGCTTTCGGTTTCGACTTGGTTGCCAGGGCAAGAAAATGCGTTTCACATTCGCCACAGAAAATGCATTCATGGTCGATGGTGGTAGCGCGGAGAGGGGAGGTTGGGTCACTTTCCACGCCCCAAAAAAGGGGAGCCAGGCATATTGCATTGCAATGTGGGTAAAGCAATTACAGGGGGACACAAAAGGATGGTTGGGGGTCGCACCGAATGGAAAACTGAGGCAAAAGTCGAGAACTTCGTGAAGGATGAAATTAAAAAGTTTTCCCAAGCTGAGCTCCTGGCTAAACGACCTTGTCAACTATATAGTTTTATCTGGATAAACTCGATATTGCTTTCACAGGCTTCCTTCCTCGACATCCCTTTTGGCGAATTTGTCAGTCTGCTGCCAAGACTTCCCCGCGTCCTCGGCGTGGGTCTCCCCCTCATTATTTATGACTCCAACTCGGTAATCAGTCAGCTCGTGGCGAGAAGGGGCAGTGTGGTGGCGGGGGGTGTAAGGGTCCTAGAGCGGTCTTTCATAATCCCGGTCATTACTCAAAAATATACATTTGTTGTCAGTCCAATTAGCTGCGTGACTCCAAGGGTCGGCAGCAGTCCGCTCCCAGGACCAAGCCATTTGTTTTGGTCACTTTTGGCCTTTCGGCCGACGGCTTTTCGGTTGCCTAGTTCCTGGTTTTCCTGGTTTTTCCGGGGAAAAATAAAAGAGGTTGTCGCGGCGGGCTTCATTTTTTCGCAGCTATTACAGTGGAATTATCGCCTAGCCACGGTCCCCGCATGCCGGCGCCCTTTTGACTCTCCATGGAAATCAAACAAAAGTTTTTGTTTTTGCCTCTCCTGCCAGCGAACAACATTATTCTGTTGTTCTTTTTCCTAACTTTTCAGGCCTGTCAAACGGAAACGGTGGACAAAGGGCGACCGCAGTTTGGCCAGTCAGCCAGTCAGCCAGGACCCTATTTATTGTTGGTTTTTCCCGCTCGTCCCTGGGACGCATTAAATTAAATTCCTTCACTTACGGGTCTCGGCAATGGCTTCCAAATGACACCAGCGTCATCCTCTCCGTAATCCAAGCGGGTCAATCCTTGAGCTCCCTGATTTTACTACTGCGTTACACTCGATCTTGGCTTTGACATTTGGTTGCGCAATGCGCAATAATTAGGCGGGCCTGCTGGCATGGCTCATTCAACAGTTGCACAATAACCATTCGCATTCAACAATGCCGCAATTCAGCAATCAAGCCGTTCGACAACGTCACAGTTCACCAATCAATCCGTTCAACAATGGTCAAAAAAGAGGCCCAATCGCATACACAGGTTTATTTTGGTCTGGCTTACTGGCTTCCTGGCTTACTTGGCTGCGTGGCTTAATAGCGCGGATTTCGAAAATATATCCGTTCGGCGGAAGTGGACACACGGACACATAGGCGCAAGGACCCACGGACCCACGGACACGCACACACACGATGACAGCGCGTCGAGCGACAAGGACGTGGGCTTTGTATTATTATATTCGTTTGGTCGGAAATGTGCGTATGTGTATGTTGGCCACATTAGGTGCCAGCCAGAGCCCTATAGGTATGCACACTCACACTGAGACAGGGGGAAGCACACAGACACTGTCACAGTTACAGACGCAAACACACACACACAGTAAGTTTGAAGGATACGCGGAGAGAGGCATTTTGTGTATCCGTCTCAGAACGTGACCAACGATGGCTCCGTGAGATTTAGTTATTAAACGGCTTTTGGCTTCTGCCTTCACTTCATTCCTTCGTCTGTTTTCATTTTTAAATGTGGCACAATGCGATGTGCTTCTGCTTCTGCTTCTGCTGGCACTTTCCCTTTTCCCGGAGCTTCCCTTCCCGTGTGAGTGATTTATCCGACGGCGACGACGGAGCAGCGTTCACGGGCATCCTTGCGGCAGGATTCGCGTGCTGGAACTGATTTCGAATCCATCTCGGCGAGCGCAAGGAACTTGGACCGCGACTCCGAATCGCAGGACTCCGAAAAGCACTCTCACACGCAGGCGCACGGGAAAAGGACCTCCGAGGATGTGAGAGGATTTCCCCGAAAGCCAGAGCATATCAAATATTAATTCGCTATCCATTTGATGTCGCTTTCCTTGCATGCCTGATGAGCGGTTTTACATTAAGGCAAGGGTTTTTCTTTTTTTTTTTCTTAAACTCGCTGCTTTCCGTTCTTTAATCCGACTCGGTTATCCTTTGGTTTTCCAGCTAACCACCAAGCCGGATCGTTTCGCTCTTCATCTTTCCTCCGTCACTCCGCTCCTCTCTTTCTCTTACACATTCGCACTCGCACTTTCTCTCTCTCTCTCTCTTTCTTTCTCTCTGTCTCTGGCTGTCGCCATCTGTACTATCTGGGTTATTAGCACAACCTGCCTCAATGCGAGACCGAGTAGTAACACTCGGGCCGAATCGAGATCCGAGTGGCGGGAATCGTGGCCAGACGAACCTAATATGCTCCATAGTCACGTACAAATGGATATTCGTAGTAGAGACGCCTTCGTTTTGGCATATTAATATAGTCTACATTTCGGGGCACAGCCAACCCACACTTTTTTGTGTGCCTTTCTCGCACATGAATGATTTACGCCGGCCCATGTAAATGTGATTTTTACCGCAACATATAGGTATTGGCATAGGTATAGCCATAGGTATAGCGATGGGAATCCTTTTTGCTCATTCGCCATCGAATCGAACGACCCCCCATCCGCGCAGAAACAATTGAACAGACAGTTATAGGCCAATTTCAGTTTATGTCCATGCGTCGCACTCGAGAGAGATTTGTGGGGCTTCGTTAAGGGCCTAGAAAAGGGCTATAAGAGGGTTTCAGTGGCTTATGGGGTCTATGGGTGTTTGGGAGTACGACGAACACCTGTACCTCGTTGTTGCGCCGACCATGTCAAATGTTGCGTGTTATGGCCGCAAATGTGGCTGTCGAAAGCGTATCCCCTTCCTCTCCTCTACACACCCGCCGAACCCAAGTACACCCACTGCCACCCACTACTACCACCACCCGCCGAAACCCACCCGCATTCAGAAAACTCGAAACGGGCATTTCAACGCATGCCTTACGAGCTCATAAATAAATGCCCACCCGGTCGGAGGCCGATAAAGTCGAGTGTGCTTGACTGGGGAATGCCCTGTAGGCCTCAAAACATCGCAATGCAAATGAGCATGGCGCCGGCGAAAGAGACAGACGCACTCAAACGGACAGAGACAGTTGGCTGGCGAGCGATAGAGACAGCAATACAGGGAAACAGCAAGCCAATGCAACAGAAAATTGACAGACAATGGCCCTGTAATTGACACGCCACCTAGCGGCCATTACGAATGATTAAAGTTGTTTTGACCCTCCCAATTGTTCGAGTGTGTGTGTGTGTTTCCACGAGTTGACATTTGATTATAGAATTCCATTACCAAACAATTGAAATGGGAATACATCGAGATAGTCAGAACGGAGGCAGAGCCCCACTAAGCAGTTAACAATTCCTATAATTAGGTAAGCACGCAATCAGGTCAAACGGAACACAGAAAGAATAGATCGCTTAAATAGTTATTAAAAAAGAATTTGATATTATCTGATGGATTTGGAGGCAGTTCTAATAGGCAGGTACGATTAGAAATTCAGTCTTCCAGTCGACTAATACTAAAAGGGATCAAGAGTCTAAAAAGGTTCCACTAAATTGTTTTATTTTATCGACATGATATAAGTATATTACCAACAAACCTACTCTTCCCGATATAACGAGTTTGCAGTTCGTTATATCCACACTCTACTCGGTAGCAGGGCGATATTGACTCCAGTGCGATACTTAACGCTTGCTGGGCCATTCAAGAAATCAAATTAGTGGAGCAATCTATCCACCCCTTGCTGCCCACGCCCATGTGCCCCACCCGCTGAGATCCTATCTGTTCACCTTTTCGCCAGCGAATTTATTGTTGCCAATTAATTTGTTAAAATTAGTGGAGCAGGCCTTGTCGCTGCCCGTGCATTGTGGTAGTTTCAATTGCCAGCTCCACGGGAGATGGGGTTTTTTACAGGATGGGGGGAGTGGGGGTACGATGGAGCTCTGTCTTCAACTGCTTATCGATAAGCGAAAGTGGGCATGGGCCCCAGACGTCGTCGCCCGTGAAATGTATGCCACGTACACGTATTTATCCATTGCTTAGCTCGCCGATGCCATTTATTGCTCACTGCGAATGGGGGGCTGTCCCAGGGGTGGGGCCAATTGGGGTGCTGAAGGGGGTGCTGATGGGGGAATGCAGGAGCTTCCGCTGCCTTGGATGAATGCTAAATTAATTTCAAATGAATACAAATGGCTTTTCGCTTTTAAGACCAGACCCAAGTACAGCTAAGAAACGCAGAGCGCAGCAATAAACTCCCCCATCACACAGCCAAAAAATCAACGGCTTCGTGCTAAAAGGACCCTCGAATTTTAAAGTATATTTGCCTTGGCCATTTGAAAGCATTTTGTTACAGTCAAAGCGCTTTTATTAGTAAGTAAATCCCGGATTTCCAATTAGCCCGAAGAGGTACTATGCAAATGCTAGATTGAAGGACTTAAAAATATTATATTTATTATAGAAATATGACTGGGCAAGTACAAATAAATAAATACAAATAAATCAAATTCAAATTATTATCGTGTCAGAAATGGCAACAAAGATCTGATGTCATTTTTGTTTACTTTGCAAGTGAAATATTAATGAAAAACAAGCATTTTTCAATGCCTGAGGAACAAACAGTGAAGTGTGTCTAAAGAAAAGACAGATGGAATGTATTAAAAACATTTTAATATTTAGAAAAGTAAAAACTAATAAGACAATAGCCTTGCAAACCAATTAAATTGGTAAAATACAAGTTACCTTCAATCACCACATTTCAAACTGGCCATAAATTGTTGAAAAAGAAGTCATATACTCGTATGCACTTTTAGCCCCTGCATATCAATCATATTTAAAAATTGTATAAAAGTAAAATTACATTTGTGAATTACGACTATATGTCCAAACACTTTTTTTTTAGTAAACTAAAAATACATTTGATGTCTCATTGAAGCTTTTTTTATTTTAAATATGAAGTCAATGGCATGGAAATATTAAACGATAAGCAAATATGAGGTGCATGCATGTAAATATAAAACACAATCAGCACAGGAAGACAAATTGTGTAGTTCTTGCTGAGCATATGTATGGATAAGCACAGATTTATCCGTGTTCTCGCTACTTTTCTTCCAGTGCACCAACTGAGTCGTTTTGTCTGTCCCTGTCTGTTTTACATTTCTTGTTTCGTTGAAATAACTCTACGTCTGGGTTTTCTGTTGGCCGTGTGGGTGCTGCCTCCTGCTCTTGGCCACCTCTTCTCACCCAGATCCTGGTCCCGATGCCGATTCTGATTCGTCTACGGGGCTGAACGTACCGAGGGCCTCGATGTCGAGTTTATCAGATGCAGTGGTGGAAATTTACAACGCCAAAGTCCGGCCCAGACAACGTGGCCGTTAATTCAATTCAGCGTAAGCCTCTTGGAGCTCAGGAACCCTGGAAACCCGGAACCCCGGATCCCCGGACCCCCCATCAGTTTGAGGCTATTATCCAATAACTAGAGAAAACGGCTAATCGCGTGAATAGTTTGGGCGGCGTAATTGATGTTTACGGCAAAACCCATTCCCACTCCCAATTGCAAGCGCGCTGGTGGAAAATTTCCATTTCGTTGACTAGTTTTTGGGAGGTGGGCGTGCTCACCTGCTGGGTTCTTTCAACGATGCCTTGATTTAATGCATTTCATTGAGCAGCAACGACCACGCCCACAGTACAACCGATGCCCCCTCCACCCTCCTCCACTTGGGGGCTATTCATTTTAACCACCAACCCCCCGCCAGCTAACTGGCCTCACAAATACTTCCAGGCCGGCCACTTTGCATTCATTATTCAATTTGAGCCGCATTTAGATGCCAGCCTGATTAAGATCCCCATTGTGTCGGGCCTGGAGAAAGCATTTCCCAAGAGGTGTCCAACTACCAGTCGATCGGACAGCCGTACAGAACCAGACCCATACAGAATAGGTCAGACCGATGCCTCTGGCCGAGCGCATAAATAAACGATGAGATTCCCTTTGAGATGCCACCACAAAATGTCAGCGCATCTGGCGGATGCGACTGATGGGTATCGGAGATGGAGACGTAGACAGATCCGGGCACGGAATTCGACAGCGAATCGGACTCCGAATTGGGGGAATCCGTATTGATTGACTCGCCTCTGGTTCAGAGCAGCGATTTGGAGTCGGATTTTGGAATGCACGACAGGAGCGGACAGGCGGTGAAATGGTATTGATTAATGCAGTTAATGGCAAATCAGATGCAGTTGAGCGTCTATTAAGCAAATGCAACTTTCGCCATGCCTTTTAGAAAGGGGGCACAAAAACGCTGAGTTCTGCGATTTCTCGGTTGATTTGGTCTTTAGAACTCAGCAATTCCGTTTGCAGTTATTCTTCTTGTTATTTATTTTGCTGCTAAAGTGACTCGATGAATTTTCTATTCAAACTTGAATTTTATATGTACTCTAGCTATTTTTTTTCATTTTTTAAGCCGACTCAGCAAAATTGAGAAAGCATAGTGCAAGAACGTTGAAGCTGCATTGAAAAATAAAAAGCAAAAAAAACATCTTAAATCAATAAAAAAAACTGCTTTAAAGCCAACACATTGCGAATTGATAAAATCACGTATACGATTGGTTGCCATGCCTCTATTGCAGCACTAGAAACTTACGACTGTTTTAATTAAAAAATTTTAAATTGGTCAACCGGCTATAATTGGTATACATCTGCGGAATTTCTAAACTTGGATCAATATTTTCCTGCGGCCTAGAAAAACGCGGTTGAGTTTCCCTTCCAGCTATTTAGTTATCATGTCTAAATATT